AGTTTTTTTGAATAAGATTTTGAAGAGACATCCATGATTCTATGCAATTTAATGCTTTTCTAGACTATCAGCTGGCTTTGGCTAAACAACTTACTTTCTCCTTTCCTGATCCATTCCATAACTTGTTCGGGAGAAACAACCACCTCTTCAATCAGGTCTTCGACATATGTATTTCTCTTAAAAAACAAACAATGACAACAACGACAAAAAACCAGTAATAAATAACTTACTGAACTCTAAAATTCACATAACTAAGTCTTATTATTGTACTTTTAAAAGTTAACAACTTGAATGACTTTTTTCTTTAATTTTCCTTCGAACGCAAGAAATGAAAATTTATACTTACATTAGAACTATTACTTTCAAAGGAGGAAAAAAAATATCTAAAAAGCATCCTAAAAATTAAATTAGTAAGGGAAATTCCCTAAGAAAAGGTACAGAAAAATATTTACCTTAATGCTACAAGGTCATAATTGTACAGTTAATAAAAATGAATTCTCCCCAGACTCCAAAAACATTGGTCAATTTAGGTGATCAAAATAAATAAGCAAATAAATAAATCAACATCCAGTTTGTTTGCTGCAAAGCTTAGCATAGAGAAACAAAGGATGGCATTTATGTAATTTATTTTTTCCTATGGTTTATCTTCCCAAATATGTTCTATGATTTTATCTAATGATTACAAGTAGAATAAAAGTGTTTTGATTTTGTAGATCATATAGCGATGCTATTAAAGCAATTCTGTGTATCTTTTTGAAGACTTCTATAACATTGAGATAGGGGATCAATATAATTTCTGTAGTTCCACTAATCAGACAACTCTCAAGTATTCACTATTTTTATTAAATAAAAATATATTCTCTTGTAAAGCTTAAAGAATAAGTCTACATTTATGAACATGTATTCAGCTAAGCCAGCAACAAGAAGCTCGGCTTCACTGTTGTTATTCTATCACATCAACTGCCCTTCTGCTAACTTTGAAGACCATTACACAGTTTGATATGGAAACTTTTTTTTTTTTACTAGATGCCTCTGAAAGCTTTTTTCCCCCCCAGTACCATGCAAATACAAGTGCTATGCTACATAACAATCCCTCGCATTAACATCGCATCTACTTACATTAACATCTTCACGAATTCCTAGAGGCTTCTTTTTCCTTATATTGCAAAGCAAATCTGTGATGGTCTCGTTGTAGATTTCCATGTAGGAAACTCTTAATAAGAATTCTCTATCTGGAATCTAATGATCACAGGAAGAAAAAATAAAAATCAAATCAGCCTACAGAATGAATAGCTTTAAATGCAAGTATTCTAAACTCAAAGTTATCTACTTGGATATCATTTCACAAACTTATTTCCACTATATCCTTTCCACGCAAGCATCTACAAATACAGATCTCTTCCAAGCTGCATTAACAATGTATCATCTTCAGTAAGCTATAAAAGCAAGTTTTCACACAGCTCTAAGGAAGCATGGCAATCAGTCTCTCACTTAGTTACCCTTTCCATATTAAATCCACTCCCATTTATGTTCTCTTCTTTCTGCATACCTTGACGTCACTCTCTTATTACTTGGATTTTCTTTGCTGCTGCTGCTTCTTTCGCTACCTCCACAGTAAAGAACACTAGGATGAAGGCTGCACAGTGGATTACAGCACCATGGAAGGTTTTCTTGGCTTAGAGTCTATTTTTGTTGATTCTAAAATACTCTGCACCTCACAGGAACAGATGACATATCACATAACTGATATCAATAACCTGATAGGTTATTGATAGACCCTCAAGGCAGAAGTATTCTGCAAACGATGTTCTAATTTATACCTTCTCCTTATACCTAATTACATTGCAGAATTTAGGCCCTTGGGGTGCTGCATCAGTTGCACAGAAGTCTTCCCAATACACAAGTGATGACACAGTCATTAATCAATAAAGTCATTAATAAATAAAGCATTATATGCTTTATAATACACCAATCCAGCTGGATTTCACGCATGTCTGTACAGATGATAACTACACTAATGTTGGACAAAAGCCAGATATATCAAAGCTACTGCTCTTTCTCAGAAGGACCAACAGAGTTGCACACTTGAAGTTCAGTGTTCAGGATAGCCATCTCTAGTGGATTCAGATTATCAAGAAAACTTAAGCAACAGTTTCATAATATGAAGTCAGTTTTTTGCACACTGTTTCTGACATTCTCTTATCAGTCTGCTGTTCCATTCCCCGGCACAGAGGGCTTCAGCATCTTATGTTTATATGGCACAGTCCTAGGGAATTCTTTCTAGTATGGTTCCAGCCCATGTTCTACCAAAATTCACAGACTAGGAGCTATTAAAATTGGCCAATCTGCCTGTGATTCTTTTGAACACCTGAAATAAGTAAATTCTTTTTCATATTCTTCACGCTTTAAAAAATCAAGTCCGTCATATTGCTAATTTTTGGAGAAAGTTTTAAAATAGCAGAATAAATAATGAAGTTCCACATTACCTCGTTTATGTTGGTAATTCAAGTTTAGTGAGAACTGTTTTGTTATTGACGTGATTCCAGCTATGATGTTATTTTTAAGTAATCACATCTCTGCAAGCTTAGCAAAACAACTGCAACACAGAGCCCAAATACAGTTTGTTTCCTTCATAAGTTCCTTAATACTAAAACTCATTTCTCTATAACATTCAGATATATTACTAGCCCTTTCAGTTATTTCAGTTTCACAGACACTCACCTCGCAAATAATTTTGAAGACATGTTGAATTGCCTTAGGAATAATGCCCAAAGAATCTTTGTTTCCCATCATTGTGTATGTCTTCCCTGAGGCAGTTTGTCCATAGGCAAAGATTGTGCCTAAGAAGATGGTTACATTTTGTTGATTATTTAGAAGTTACACTACAAACAGGAGTTAAGTTCAATTTTAAGACTTACCATTGTAACCTTGCACAGCTGATTGTATAATTGGCACAGCTACATCTTCATATACTTGCTGAGTGTTGTCACAAGAGTGAAAGACACGATCTTAAAACAGAAAGAAAAAAGAAAGCATGTTAGCGTACTGCACTGCAAGTCAAAAACAAGCTGTCATCTTACTCAGGAATGCTGACTTCAAATCAAACATCAGATGTAGTTGTTACAACACTGCTATGACAGACTTTTAAAGAAGAAAAAAAAACATTAAACTCAGAACCAAAAGAGGCATGATGAACAGACAATGGAGAAGTCAAAGAAACCAAAAATGACAGTTAAACAGACACTCTGTTTAATCCTTACAACTGTTAAGACTAGTTTATCTATCAAGATTGTAAGCCAGACAGGATAGGCTACAAGACCTCTAACAAAGGGTATGCCTATTAAACCTCTAGCTTGGGAAAAAAATGTTCGTAGGGGCCACATAAACACTAACAAATGCAGTGAATCCATTGGAAAATGCTAAAAGTTAAGCATTTCCTGGGCTCTAATTCCCATGCTGTCCCACATGTTCTGGGCTGCCTTTCTGTGACTGGAATGCCAGCATGCTACTGAGTTCATCTTCCTGTGTACTGTCATACAAAACGAATCCAGCTCATGTGCTCCAAAAACACTTGGTTTTGGCTAGTGCGAGTCAGAACTCAGAAAGCAAAATTCATCAGGAATTTGGCTTTAAAAGTGCATTCCTGGACCAGCCTACAAAGTTGTGCATGCCTCAGAGGTACATTTTCATAACTGTGAGAAGTTGGGAGTTGGAGAACTACAGTGCTGCAAAAGCTGAGGCAATTGCTGTTAACGTACATTCCAGTCAGATTAATGAAGGTATATAAGCGCACTGAAGCTAGTTATATAATTAACTTCAAATAATAAATAAAATAATAACATAGGCTGGTTTAGCAATAGGGATCAATACATTAGTTTAAGGACTGATAAAATTAGCAAAAGGAATCAATGCGTACTAGTTTCAAACTTTCAATTTCAGCTTTGCTTCGTTGTTTCCTTCAATGACAACCTTGTTTCCTTTAATGATTCTGCTTCAGGAGAAGCACTGGAGACATAATAGACTACTTTTATCTTCACATTCACAAGGTGCAAGGACTTTTTCCTCAGATTTCCCATATATTGTTTTGGGCTATAGTGTACTAACAGAGCTGCTCATTACAACCTAGCAAGCAATGGAAATTTGCCAACCCGGGGAAAAACAACAAGAGGCCAACAAAAAGTCACTGTGATGAAGATGATGATGGAAAATGAGGAGGAAGTAATCAGTCTAAGACCACCATAGGCCCCTATCACGCACACCCAGCAGGACATTAGCACGTATTAATGAGTTCTCAGAAAAGAACACACATGCATACTGATGTATCACATATCTATGCCTTAATTGCTTAAATGTAGAACTCTGAGATAGTGTTCTTGATTTGTCAATCGCCTGCTATACATCGTGAGGATAAGGGAACGCCGGATGACAATTGCTTTCGCATTCTTACCATAGCTGAAGACTTTTGTACCATTCACTTCCGAAACGGCATTGCCCTCGCTTTTCCAGTAGAGCGACGCTTTGTCTTCTAGAGCGCTCTCCCTAAAGGAAAGGACGCCCCCGTTAACCGCACAGGTGACGCTGCGGCTTTGCCCACCCGCCGCGGCCGCCACTCCCGTCAGGCCCCCCAGCCCGGTCCACCCCCCGGGGCCGCGCACAGTGCCGCCGCCGCCGCCAGCCTCCCCCCCTCAGACCCGCTACCCGGACAGGCGCTCACCTGGCGATGAGCGGCCGTACGCGCACGCAGACCGTCACGGCCCCCTCTTCCGCCATCCCCGCGATAGCCGGGCAAAAGGCTGCGCTCACGAGAAGACGCGCGCCGCTCCCACAGCGCTCCCCCCGCGCCCCGCAGACTGAAGAGGCGGTGCCGCAACCGCTGTCCGAATTTGAACTGCTCCCGCTGCCGCTTCCTATTGGCCCGCGCTGCGCAGGCGCCTCGGCGGAGCGGCCACTCGGCAACAGCTGCCGGGAGGGGAGAAAGGGAAAGCGGGGCGAGGCGAGGATGGTGGCACAGCCTGTGGAGCGCTCAGCGGTGGCGATGGTGCCGGCCCAGGCCTGGGAGCTGTGCGGCGCAGTGAGGCGCGCTGAGTTGTGTGGTTTCACCCATAGACTGGACGTCTTTCTGTGACCGAAGGAGCAGCGGTGAGGAGTGAGCAGAGATCAGAAAAAGAAGTACGTTCCACTCAAGTTCAACAGCAAGTACTTTGCAGTTGCTTTATTACACTAATAAACTAACGTTTAAACTTTTAAAACTTTTTTTCCTCTGTATTTTAATCATCCTCCTATTAAACTAGCGTTTGAATTTTTGAAGCATTTTTTCTCCCTCTATTTTAATTATCCTCCTCCTCTTCACCTTCCTCAAATTCTTCCTCCTCCTCTTCCTCCTCTCCTTCCATGCCTTCTAGAGCTTTTTGTTCTTGTGCTGCCTTGAAAGCCAGCTCCTCTTGCACCGTGGGGTCTGTGCCCTCCCTGATCTCCGGCCCATCGGGGTACTCAGGCTGCACAGGTGGAGGCAGTGCAGGTGTATGGTTTCCCAGGCTGTATTTGTGCCCCCAGCCAAAGTAGATATTGCCGAATTTCCTGAGAAAGAAAAGTGAAAGATCACACAAACTCTCCCCAGCAGAACATCAGCTGTGATAATTCACAGGCTTCCTTACTCTGCTGTGCACACAGTCGCTGTGGTGCAGGTTCCCTGTAAGAGGTATGTTTACAAAAAGCCATCTCTAACAAGCGTTGATGAATTCACTAATCCAGCTCTGAAAGATGCAGACCTATTAGAGCAAGTCCAGACAACACTTATGAAAGTGATGAGAGGGCTGGAACACATCTGCAGAGGAAGGCTGAGGGAGCTGGTGGTTCATATTGGAGAATGTGCCAGGGAGACCTTGCTGTGGCCTTTCAATACTTAAAGGGGGCTTATAAGAAAGATGGACAGAGACTTTTTACAAGGACATCTAACAATACAATCAGGAATAATAGTTTTTAACTGAAGCAGGGTAGACTTAGATTTAAGGAAGAAATTCTTCATTCTAAGGGCAGTGAGGCACTGGAACAGGCTGCCCAGAGAGGCTCTGGCTGCTCCATGCTAAGAGCTGTTCAAAGCCATGTTGGATAGGGCTTTGGGCACCTGGTCTAGTGGAAGGTATCCCTGCCCATGGCAGGTTGGTTAGAAATGAGTGATCTCTGGAGGTCCCTTCCAACCCAAATCATTCTGTGATTCTATACCTTCCACTTAAAAATCTCCCAGTGCTAAAACAATGCATGCTATACTGTCACTTCTCTATTTTGCAATGTGACTTTCACTTCACTTTAGTAACATAGGTCCATTTCTCCAATTCCAGTTTAAAAGTTCTACAATGCCTATTTAAAAGTTCCCACTCTTAGTTAACTGCACTGTGTATAGTGGAAACTAATGGAACTAAGAACTACAGATTTAAGATTTGCATCAAAGCATTGCAAACTCAGGAACACAAGTTTTAAATTGAGGACCGCAGCCAAATATTAACTGGATATTTACACCCATTTGCTTTATGGTACTATTTCCAGTGATTCCTCGTTTTTGCTTTTGAACACACACTGTTGCTATTAAGCTGTATTTTCCAGTCTCAGGATTAGTTACAATTCAGTAAATTAATGGTAAACCAGATTTGACTTCAATAGATACGTATGTGTTCAGCGTGTAGAATTTGTGTTATAACTATGTCAACTGACTACTCACGCGCCACATGCAAAAGCATATGCTCCAGGCCATCGGTTTGACCGAAGGATTGCAACAGCATATTGAGGGGTCAGCTTTGGAGAAAGTGAAGCTGTCCAAGCAGGGATGTTTTGAATTCCTGGAGACAGTCAAACACACAATCTGTGAATAAATTGGCTTAAGAGCCACTGCATTTAAGACTGAGCGACAAGGCTGTTACAGAATTCACGCAATATTAAATTAAGATGCACATTAGACGATCTAAGTCACAATTAATATAGGCACTGTATTCAGACAGGTCATTTGCATGGGAAGGTATCTCATGGATGCCAGCAGCCACACAGAAAATACCATGCTCCTGAAATGCAGTAGTACTCACTGCTGTTTCTTTTGTCAAAGATTGTTTAATGCTGATGGATAAATTGAATTCGTATTTTACTCTGATCAAAGAATGGAGAGTAGGAAAATAATTTGCTACTGCTATAATCTAAAATTCAGGTTTGCATATTGCCATGATTTGCTGCAGTTAACATGCTACAGAATATAAATTCTCACTAATATATCTATACATGTGTGTACACATTTATTTACATGTGCACCTGCTTTTTTGTCTATAAAGATGATAGAAAGATATCTGAATGTATTTAATATGTAAGCTGTCTTGAGCTTGGAGTAGCCTGACATGTCTGAGGAATTTTTTCTTTATTCTCCAAGACTGTTAGCTAGACCAAGACTGTTAGCTAGAAAACCCAGAGATTACAGTTTTAATGTTGGTACTGGTAACCACTTTGCATTTGATTCATTCTGCAAAAGAATAATGGCAAATTACATCATTCCACAAAGCACCAGAGGCCTGTCACTTCAAGTGTTTACTACCTAAATGCTAGCATTTCCAGGGATTTGCTATCAAAAACTTTGTGCTCCCTGAAGAATACCTTCATCTTCAGAGAGTGGAGTGAGAAGAGGAGGTCCTATTTCTTGCTGTAGTTCATCTGGCGCCTCATCCTTCTCCTCCTCCTCCTCTTCACCTTCTTCTTCCTCTGTTTTTTGTAAAGGGTTAAACCAAACACAGCGACCCTATCATCAACAAGGAAGAATCATAAATACATGCAGCAATCAGCGAAAGAATATAAGCCAGCTTAAGTAAGTGGTTCAGACACACATACACAAGAGGGAGTGGGGGAGAAAAGAAGGACTATATATTCCACAACTGGGATATTGTAGGCAGACTGTTGTCTCTCTATCCCTCATTCATTACTTATCCCTGCTTACCATTTCAGAATAATCTCATACTTCTCTCATGATCTTTCTGTTATTTTGTTGTATTTGATTCTTTTAACAATCCATGCTGATGATAGATGCTGGACTTCAGCAAGAAAACAAAAATCCTGTTCTTACTGAGATTGTATCTTAAAGCACACATTTGTTTCAATATTCATTTTGTGAAGGGATATTAACTTGTTGCTGGCCTTACTGGTTGCAGCCATGCTGACATTATCCATCTCTTCCCAGTCAGGAGGTGTGAAGATGCACAGAAGGTGCACAGAACATCCTTTCCCCCTACACCTGAGCTCAAGTCCAAAAAAGTTCCTGAAATGTGTGCGCAAATTCCTACCTATCTCCATCCTTCTTGTGCAGGCCTGTATGCTCTTTTCCAGTTGAACCCTTAAAAACACAGAAGGCCCAAGAAACACCACTGCATGACATAAGCGTTTATACCAAATTGTCCTTATGTTTGGAGTGAACAGCAGCTCAAGAATACAGGAAGCTAGTACTACGGAGTGAATGGTATCTGAGGTCAGGTGAAATTTGTGAGCACATACCTGCTTTAAAATACTCGATACATGGTGTACCCACGTAGACAGAGACTCCACCATTTCAAATGCAGAAAGAGGTTCAAAATCAGGGTTTTCTTCATAGTCATTTCTTCCTCCTCCCCCTTCCTCATCTTCATCTCCTTCTTCCTCTGCAAACCGGTAATATCCAAGGGGACTGACATGAGTTCCTGCTGAGATCCGAGCTATCTGTGCACGCAGGTAATTGGCTTCATTTCCAGGGAAAGGAGGGAAGCTCACAATGGGAGCATCAAGCCTACCAGTGAAAAACTTCCTGATTTTCCTGGCACAGACAATCTGTGCTGGTGTCACTGGAGGCAACTTCACCCAGGGCTCGCCTGGCTCATTACAAACAAAGTAGACATATTTATTAGCCCCAGTTCCATTTTCTTCTTTTGGAATGACAGGTGGGGGCTTATAGGTAGACTTTGGTGGTTCACTTATTTCTTTTTCCTCATCTTCATCTTCGACCAAATCCATTCTTTTGTCTCCTTCGTCAATAATCTCTTCCTCTTCTGTTTCCTCCTCCTCTTCCCCCTCACGGTACTGAACTTCAGCTATAATATAGTTCTTCTCCCGGCCCAGAATTCTGCCCCAGAAGCGACAGGTCTGGATTGGCTGAACACTAACAAGTTTTTTAAGGGCAAGAAATATGAGATAGGTTTCATCTCTGCTCAAGCCAATTCCACCCTGTTCAAAATAAAAGGCTGTTTCCATCATGTTAGGTAGAGGAGTCCCTCCCTAGTAAACAAAACCATGAGTTAGAATGAAGAATAATAGCAGTATCTATTTGAAAGACTGAAAAAAATATCCACTGAAAGTCATACTTCACTCTCTCAAAGTACTTTGCAGGCATTCATTTATTACATCTTTCACTATTGTTTAGAAAAATTCAAAATGCCACAATAAGGATAAAGAATGCAAATAAACGACAGCTTTTAGAATGTAAGATCTCAAATTTCAAACTCACTATTAACTATTGCAAAATAAGCAAAGTCAGAATTCTCACAAAGGCTCTTCAAGAAGACTTCATTGCTTATGCATGTTAACTATATAAGAGGCCTTGACAACCAGAAACAAAACTACTGTCTTTCTTCGTGTTTGTGAAAGATGCATTTGGGGAGAACAGAAAATGTATTTTATACATTTAGACACCAGGTCAACGCTGTTTATCTGAAATTAACATTGCCCTTTTTAATACCTTGTCATAAAGCTCCCTGTATTATTAAGAGGGAATTTCTTAAGACTAGTATGAAATATTGGCTCCTGCTCTTACTGAAGTCAGTAATGCTCTGGCTGGCTTGTGGGATGCAGAACTAGGCCAATAACAAAGATTAAGAATTTACATTTGGTTTTTCATCCGTCTCTCATTTCATGGCAGTAGGTGGATAAGGATTGTAAATTATTCACAGCAGGGAAGGGAATTTAGTGGAAGTAATGCTGGTTTCGTATGGAATTTGTCTCATTATTACAGGTTTTTTAGGTCAAAGGAAGATAGACAAGAGTATGAAAAATTCAAAGTTCCTTTCTGGAACATTGCACTTTTCTCCATTTTTTCTTTTACTATTGCATATTGCATATGATATATTGTTACTGTAAAATGAGTAATAGGCTATGGTAAAGATGCAAAAATGTATATT